CAAGAGGGAAGCTGCTGAACTCCAACAAGACAAACAACAAGCTTGATCAACCAACCTACATAATGATACAACAGCCTGGACAATTACCAATGTTCAGGGCTCGTTGATAACTACTGTTGATGATCTAAATCCTGCATTACCCATAATAAGGAATATACCATAATTCCCATAGTTTAGGACCCTTAAGGTAATGCAGGATTTATATCATCAACCGTATAAGATAACATGCGTCACAACCCTTTCCAACTATTGAGGCCCCTGTAATCAAACCCCTCAGAGAAGCCCTTGTAGACCCCTTAAAGAAGCTCAAGTCGAAGTCTAAGCTTGATCCTTTCCCTACGGGTCCATGTACCTAAATAGTATATACTTTGGCCTGAAATGGGTCTTAAAGTACTCCCTATATAGGTACATTGGGGCCAAAGTATATATTTTATGGGCACATGGACCCTTATACCCTAAACCCTCTATAGAACCCATACAGTAACCCTTAAATGAATCCTTGGAGGATCGCTATTTGGGTACATGGAGCCGTTTAATCTACGGAACCCCCCTTAAACCCTAAACCCCAAATCCCTAAACTACGGAACCCCCATATGTTGCATCTCCGTCGCTCTCCGCGCCACTCCGAGCTGCTCAAATCGATCCTCACAGGCTGCAGATATGGGGAAGCTCCCAAAGGGTCCAATAAGGCTTACTATAAGTACCTATATTATATAGTAGAATCTAGGGTTTCTAGAGTAGGAATCATATTCAGATTTGGGAAGGTATCCCCCATAACAGTACATAGGACCCTTTGAAGCTGCTTGTCGAGGTTTTGAGAAGGATACCGCAGATGGACAGCATCCTGCATTACCCTACGTATAGTATAGTATCATAACTCACATAATTTAGGTATATAAGGCCCTGCAGGATTTTGTCCATCAGCAGTACCCCTAGCTTCCATGTACCTTAATGTACCTTAACTCATCACCATTGGCGACCATCAGCATCATCGGTGTCATAATCATATCACCTGTCATCTTTATCATCAGGGCCACGACAACTAACAAGAATGGAACCGGCATCTTCAGCACTCATAGACATCGTCGTCAATCATGACGAGCACTTGACCCACCACTATCACATTGGTCCTGTTCTGCGTATCATCGGGAAAACTTGACCCGCCCCACTGTCATATCGATCCTGCTCTGCTTTTCATCGGGAAAACTTGACCCGCCACTATCATGTTGATCCTGTTGTGCTTATCATCAGGCAATAAATCGTCATGAAACGCTACAGAGCATAAACCCAAACTGCAAACCCATGTCGAAGTGTCTTCCTGCTTGGAGGTTCAATGAATCCTTATCGATCCCGTTAAAGGAACCCTTTAAAGGATCCCTTATAGACCCCTTTACAGGAGCCCTCATAGATCCCAGTATTGAACTTGCAATCTCCGCCTGGCTACGGGAACTATAGCGCTATTGTCAACGGGTCATGAAGCTTCCGCAAAGCCATACAACAGTTAAAACCCTTGAACCCTGTGCAGACTCTATAAAACCTTATTAAACAACCTCATACTATACGAGGTCTCCCTCACATAGAAGCCTTTGCGACCCAGTCCAGGTCCTTGAAAGTATTGTCCGGGTTGTGGGGGCAGTCATACCAGCCGCCTTCCTCACGACAGCTGCTCGAGGACTCAGGTTTTAGCAGGTTCAGGATTCGGAAGGGAAATATTAACTAGCCCAAGGCCCACCCTGTGGCTGATTTTCGAAACCCTAAACTTCAAACCCTAAACCCTAAACCGGTGCCTTCATTTCTGGCCGCGGTTCGGGTTTAGGGTTTATAGGGATCCTTATGCTTCTGTGCCTGCCATAGTTCCTATGACTGGTTATCTTGACAGAAAAGGGTGATGCAAGGTGATGACAATGACGACGAAGACGGTGGTGGTGGTGGTGGTGGTGGTGGTGGTGGTGGTGGTGGTGGTGGTGGTGGTGGTGGTGGTGGTGGTGGTGGTGGTGGTGGTGGTGGTGGTGTCGTTATGGTTGCTGTGGCTGTTGCTGCTGTTGTTGTCGCTGCTGCTGCTGTTGTAGTTGTAGTTGTAGTTGTAGTTGTAGTTGTAGTTGTAGTTGTAGTGGTAGTGGTAGTGGTAGTGGTAGTGGTAGTGGTAGTGGTAGTGGTAGTGGTAGTGGCAGTGGTAGTAGTAGTGGCAGTGGCAGCGGCAGTCGCAATGGCAGTGGCAGTGGCAGTGGCAGTGGCAGTGGCAGCGGTGGTGGTGGCGGCGGTGCTGCTGCTGCTGCTGCTGTCGCTGCCTCGTGCCAGTCCTTCACCAAACCACTATTTGCGTGATCCGATGGCTAGACCCTTTGGTTCATGTTTGGGAAGTTGGGAGACTTGTTGCAACACGAGCACAAAACCGCATATGCATCTTGTGTTCCTTAGCTTCTAGTGTGACGGCTTGCAGTGGTGGGGGATTTCATTATCTGGCGAAGCTTTCACAACATGTCCTGATGGCTGCCTGAGCAAAGCCAGACTCAGACAAACCGAACAAATACAAAACTCTAACCACACCCGCTGCCACAGGCGGAAAATATACTGCTCAAGACACCGCAGAAAAGTTCAAGCCTGCGCCGAACCCTAAACCCGGAAGAGAACCTTAAGCCCAAACCCTTGAGCCTTAAATCCTACACCCAAACCCCTTACACTCCAACTAAATCGAGGGTAGCTCCTAACCCTCAATCCTATATAAACCGTTACACCCCGAAGCCGAATTCCCTGGCTGGTTCTTAGTAGGGAATGGGGGAATGGACGATGGAGACTCTTCTTGGCGATTATATAATATAGGGACTACTATTCGCCCATTCCCTCCAAGAACCAGACAGTTCTGGCTGGTTGCTGTTTTTAGGGTTCATGCTTAGAACCCTATAAGAGCATATAATCCCAAACAGGAACTACCTATGGAGCCTATGGGTACCAACCCGAAGGCCGACTTCTGGCAGGTGGCTGTTTGCGTGCAGTTCGCATCGGCACAAGCCAAGGAAGCTCCTGCGAACTCCCCGCCTCGGCAGCTGAACAAAGGCCCCATGTACCCATGTAGGGATGCTTTAAGGATTCCTTTAAGGGTTATATGGGTTCTATAGGGTTTAGGGTATAAGGGTCCATGTACCCAGATAGTAGGTACTTAGGCCTTAAAGTGCCCAGTGCCACATATCTAGTCTACCCTAAGGGTCCATGTACACTTGTAGTGTATACTTTGGCCCCAATGTACCTATGTAGGGAACATGGATGGACCCTTAGGAGGGTTTAGATGTAGTATATACTGAGGCCTTAAAGTACTAGTATAGGGACCCCTTTAAGGCCTAGGTACCTACTATATGGGCACATGGAGTCTTAGGGCAGGATTAGATTGGATCCTGCCCCCGCCCTGTAATAGTGACGGCCGGACAATGCCTGTAAGATTGTCGATACTATCACCCATTATCGTCATTCCTATTGTTTTTTAACTCATATATGTATACATTATATATATATATATATATATGTAAGCCCTTAGTATGACCTGTACTGTAGACTGTTGCAAAGTGGGGGTACCCAAGGTTTAGACATTACGGCTGATGGAGTTAAGGCAGTGAGCTGCTCAACAGCCAAGCTGCGTCGTGTCAAACATGAGATGGATGTGTGTTTAGTTGTGCCTAAGCTGCTTACCTTGTCTTGCAAGTTGTACTCATGAACACACAGAACCATATCTATGACTGTATATGCATAGACAAGACGTATGACATGCCCAGACAGGGACAGAACTATGTGCACTGCATGTATGCATGGATTCCTCAAGATTTAGGATTCTGTTGAGGAGGCTCCGTCACAATGGAGCTATGGTCTTTTATTTTCTGAACCCGCCGTGTGGGTTGGCAAGTACACAAAGAGTCCTATCACGTACAGCTGCAAAGTCATCCCTCAAACATGTCACTGTGTCACTGTGCCCAGATGAAGCCCCTCGTCTGTAATTAATATAGGGGCCTAAATAAGTACCAATATTATTCCTAAGATTCCACAAAAAACGAAACCCTATTCTGATTATCAAGGCCCCTCGTCTGCACCCTCTCCGAGGATCCGGCCGGTAAAGCCTACGTAGATGAATTCTGCCACACCACTGCCTCGGGTCTAGGGGCCTTAAGGGTTTCGGGTTTAGGGTTTAGGGGTTTAGGGTTTAGGGTTTAGGGGTTTAGGGTTTAGGGTTTAGGGTTTAGGGTTTAGGGGTTAGGGTTTCAAAACCTTAAGGGCTTAGGGTTTAGGGGTTTATAGGGCCTTGGGGGCCTTAAGGTTCCCTTTCAAAGGTTCCGTAAAGGGCCCCATAAGGGATCTATAGTAGCATTCTATAGTTTATAAGGTTCCTTTAGAAGGTTCCGTAAAGGGCTCTATCAGGGATCTATAGTAGGATTCTATAACATAGCTCGAAGGGTCCAAGGGACTCAATTTTTAGGAACTTAGGCTTCGGATAGTAGTTCTGTAGGTTACACTTTGGGGGAGCATATGATAATTAAGTACTTGGACCCTTAGGGTAGAATGCTTTGGGCGTCCGCGTTTAGGACCTCTGAACCACTACTTCACTCCGTCTCCTCACTCTTAATCTGGTCGGGTTGTGCCGAGGCTCTGAGCTAACACCAAAGCGCCAAACCTTTCAACATTAAAGTGCGGCTCGGAGGGTGTGGGTGGGTAGCTACTGAAATTCTTGCTGGACTGGATCTGGTCGGTTTCAGCTTCCAGCTGAGGGATTGGGGCTGAGATGTGCTGAGGGTCTCTGGAAACCTGAAACCCAAAACCGATTGGGGCAAAGCAATCGAAGTCTTTTGATCGTGGACGATCGTGTGCTCATCGCACATGGGAGTTTCCGAGAATACGGGGTAACTCACTTTGGGGTCCTTCTAATCAGGATGCTACCATTTAGGGAACTACATTAGGATCCCTATTTTCGGAGACTCCGACATCATCAGATGGCTTTCGCAGTTGAACGAAAGCCTGAATCACCACATCCCCGAGCCTCGCAAGTATCCATGCACATCCGCTCTGGCCTCCAACAAAAGCTTTATGACCGATCCGTGGCAGTTCGTGCAGGCAGCATGTAAAGGAGTGGCACCAGTATCCTGCGAGACATTGATGTCAGCGCGTGCATCCAGCAGCACCCGAGCGACCTCCGAATGGCCGTTCCAAGATGCCTATACTGAACTTACGTAAACCGCTAGCGAAAATTACAGTTTCAGCTGTTGCTTAGGGAGTACACAATGATCAGTTCAATATATATATATATATATATATAATTTTAGCTGTTTCTTAGGGATTATAAAAAACCAGTTGAACGATTAACAACTATTTCTAAGTACCCCTAAGATGCGACGAGAAGAGGTGTCGCCCCATCATCGATGGGCAGCTCGATGTTGGCCCCAAACTGAAGCATGAGACTGGCTACAGCCAGGTGTCCATTCTGGGCTGCAACAAAGAGTGGCGTGGTGCCATCATCCTTAAGGACCAAATGACCCTTAAAAAGTAGGGGCCCTATACCCTAATACTATGAATCCCTATATGGTCCTGGTATATGAACCTGAAACCGCTTTGGGGTTCATCTCGTCTTCAAGGATCCGTAGCTCTTTGGTCAGCACGAGCTTCAAGTAATGTTCGAGCTACGTCGAGATGCCCGTCTTCGCAAGCCACCACGAGACTAGACCCCATGCTTTCGTTAACCATGTTAGCATCAGCAGCCTGCTGTAGCAGCATCTGAACAATCTCCAGATATCCTTGCTGAGAAGCCAGAAACAGTGCGGCTGTTCCATCATTCATGGTTTTGTTCACTTCAGCACCCACATCCAGCAGCAGGCGTGCCACTTCAAGATGACCATTTTGGCAGGCTATGTGCAGTGCAGAGGCACCTTGTTGCGGAAGTGCCCGGTTTGGGTCAGCCCTTGCCTCCAGCAGCAGCTGCACGAAATCCACATAGCCATTCTGGGATGCGATCACCAGTGGTGTCGCGCCGTCGCTCATGGGCGTCTCTACGTCTGCACTCGCTTCAAGCAGCAGGAGGGCTGCTTCTGGATTCCCGAAGCAAGCTGCCCCGCCCAAGGGGACCTCCCCGTTCGCATCCATCACATTGGGATTCAGAGGTCGTTGCAGCAAGACCTGCATAGCAAGTGAACTTTTGTTCTGGCAAAAGCGTCGCTTCCCCGTCAGATTGATGCAGATTCATAGTGTTCAGTGTTCACGAATCCCTTAAGCTCAGAAGAAACCCGACACGCTTGAACCCAGAGGACTTACCCCACTTCCCTAGGGCTCCAGTTACCCAAAGAATTAGCAGGTTACTAACCATATATCATATACCCTCGTAACCTACTATATAAACGTAACTGGATCCCTATACCCTAAGGGTCCAGGTACCTGATTATCATATACTCTCCAAAACAGTAGCCTACATAACTACTATCCTGAACCCGAGTACCGACTAATTGGGTCTCTTTGACCCTTAGAGACAGGGCTTGATGGCCAGCCTCCAGGTCCTTCAAGTTGTTGTCCTTTGCTGCGGCCACAAGTGCGAGGCAATCACTCGCCAAAGGCGGCTGGAAGTTCACGAGGACAAACTGAACATCCGACCTGACCCGGAGCTTTGAGACTTGATCACTTGGATTGTGGGCCGGGAAAAGAAATTTTCAGAAAGTTAGGGGTACCTTTTTTCGGGGTCCCTATAATAAGGATCCTACTGTTTAGGGCTTCTAGATTAGGGTCCCCTATTTTCGGAAAACCCCCTTTTTGCAGTATGTACTTAAGTCGCTACCCAGCTGGATCACAGCCCAATAACTGCACAGGCTTTCAATACGACAGAGTCCCTGAATCAAAAGAGCCTCCGTTTGTCGTGGTGGATAATTAATCCCCTGCATGAGACCTAACCCTCTCTATGAATGTTGTAATATCCCAAGAAAATAAGATACCCCCCCCCCAAACTAGAGCTGCGGTAACAGCTAAGGGTCTAGCTAGCCACTTAGTCCTGCAAGCGTGTACATGTGCATGGATTCCGGCTTCTTTAGGTCTTGAAGCTGCGAAATAGAAGTGACAAGCATGAAAAGTCCGAAATGTAAAGCCCAAAGAATGACCCGAAATGAAAGCATGATCTCTCTCTTTCTCTATATATATATATATACTATATCGCAGACCACTTATAACAAGCCTGTTGCATGCCACTGAACCCTAAACGCTACACCCAGACTCCACTATGAACCTTAGACCCCCGAACTTTCAACTCTCAAATAAACCACAGCTCAGGGACAGCGTGTCCAGCGGTGAATTCTCAGTCAGAACCCCATCGTCGCCGAGAAGGCGCTGTCGGAAGCGCGAGTATCCACAGAGACATTGCCTGAGCTACCCAAACAGTTCAGCGTTTACAGTTGCAGTCCATAATTGAGGGGATCATCGTTAAGGTATCTAGGGTGTAAACTCAGGAACAATATAGGGCCTAAGTAACTACCAATACTATTTTAGGGTTCCTTACTATAACTATACCATGAGGGAGCCCAAAACCCAATTCTACAGTAATTTATGCTCCTATATAATAAAAGCAAGAGTAGCTCAAGCAGGGAGCCCTTCAAGCCCAAACTCTTGACTAAACCCTAGGGGGTTGAGGGTTCCCAACCCTAAACCCCTCCAACCCGAGTTCTCTAAGGTCTCGTGTACTAATTGCTCTTGGGCCCCTAGATAAAGCTTTTGTAGTATTCTGATCCCAAGGGAAAGCTAGCTAAACCCGAATAAAGCAACCCCCAAACTCTACACCCTCCGGTTCCTCAGCCCTGCACGCTGAAACCCCTCGGCGGCCGAGATACAGCCTTCTTTTCAGGGCTGCGACCGTGGGCTGCGCAGTGTCGTCAGTCCTGCTCAGGTCGGGTTGGAAGAAATCTCGGGGAAAGGTGACCCGAAGGCGCCAAATAGCCCAAAGTAGGTACCGTTTACAGACTTTAGACCCCGAAGTAGGTGCTGTGTATATACTTAGAGTCTTAGGTGAGCAAATGAGCGTGTCACATCTATTGCTCCGCTCGTGTCTCGTTCAAAAGACCGCAAGCCCAAACAACACGGTCGGCACCTGACCGTAAAACCCGTCAAACACCGGACGCAAATAACGCTCATAGAAAGCGGTTAAACAAGCACACACCAACACACAAACACACCTCCCAACGACCATCGTAAAAGCCTTCTAAAACCCAAGGAGAACTCTCCTGACTGCGAGATGGTCGAGTCTCTTCGGATCGGAACCCCAATCCTACTTGGAGGTTCATGGGTAGATATAAGTGGAGTTATAAGTCCCCTAATATGGGTTATAATTGTGGATGCCCTACTTATAACTCCACTTAAAACTAACCATGAACCTCCCAGTAGCGCGGCAACCCGAAAGCTCTCAACCCTGAACCCTGATCCCGAAAGCCCCAATTCTCAAACGCTAGACCCTATGAAAACTCATAGGGACCCTTAGAGGGGTTAGCGGGAGGGGGGTAGGGGTATTAAGTCCTCATTACACGCCTTACGGCCCCCTACGCCCCCCCTAAGGGTCCCTATGGAACACCAAGTGCTAAACCCTGAGTGGAAAACCGTGTCCATTAGTTCACGCACGTGGGCCAAAACCCACACAGAAGAGGGAGACACCGACAACACGAGCTGCAGCTACACCGCCCCCCAGGCGCTAAACCCCTAAACCCAACAACTCAAAAACCCAAAAACCCAAAAAGCCATAAAACCCTATAAACCCCTCAAACCCTAAACCCGAAAACCCGAAAACCTGAAACCCTAAGATCTGCACCCTTCTGCCCACCTCTCCGAGAACTGGCCCCAGGCGATGGCTGCGAGCTCAGTGCCAGAGGCCCAGCGGATGCGCAGCATCGGCGGCTCTAGAGGGTTTAGGGTTTAGGGTTGAGGGTTTAGGGTTTAGGGTTTAGGGGTTTAGGGTTTAGGGTTTAGGGTTTAGGGGTTTAGGGTTTAGGGTTTAGGGTTTAGGGCTCTATTAGCGCTCTGTAAGGGCTCTATAGGGGTTTGTACAGGGTTCTAATAATGGGTGCGAAATTATTAGGGTTCTATCCGGGCTCTAGAAGGGTTCTTACAGGGCTCTACAAGGGTTCTATAATGGTTCTGCAAGGGTTGTCTAAGGGTTGCATAATAATCGGTTGTAAAAGGCCCTAGGAGACATCTGTAAGGCATCTCGACGGATTTTTGAGGGTCTGGCGATTGGGGATTTTGCAGATGGGGTTTAGTAAGGTTTCGTGTCAAGGTTTGGGGGTTAAGGTTATTCAGGATTAAGGGTTAAGGGCAGGGTTTCATGTATGGTTTAGGGTTCCGGGTTGAATTACGGTTTGGTTTAGTTGAATAATGTAGAAAGGTCTTCGCCACCATATAGCAAACGAGTATGCAGGTTGATGGCTCCCAGGTCTATGAGTCGTTTCTAAAGCTTGGGGCGTGATGTACTTAGCGGTTGGGACTAGCTTCAGGGTGGCCGGTCCTCTCAGCAGGGGTTAGTCCCTCCGAGCTCTGAAGCTTCAGCTGGGTTTGGAGTTCTGCAAGTTCTGACTTAGGTTCGGGTGCTGGATATCAAGCAGATAGTTTGGACTGAGGCTAGAGGCTAGCAATCTGGTGCTCTTACCATGGGTCGGAAAACTCAGCAAGCCCTACGGGCTAAGATAAAGCAAAACGGCTGCAGACGGACTTCCCCTGCACATCAGACTTGCGAGAGATCACACTAAAAAGAACATGCCTACCTGCGCGCCATCCAAACTACCTGCATGCCTGTCTGCCTGCCTGCCTACGCCTGCATGCACACATACGTGCATACACATACAATTTAGACATCCGTACCGCTGTTATCTCTTTGTATGCAGGTAGGTAGGTCGGTAGCTAGGTCGGTATGCGGGTATGTAGGCAAGTCGGCATGCAGGCATGCACGCATGGATCGCTGGCATGCATGTGCGTGCACATGTACGCACATGTGCGTACATCAGAGCCTACGTAAGTAGCTAAAAAAACTAGCCAGTGGTTTGGGGGTTCCCTTGGCTCTTTAGCTCCTTATTTAAAAGGGAGTATCATCATCCCTGGCTCCTTAGCTCCTCCCATATCAACGGTTAGAAAATGTAGACACAAAAACTACAGGTATAGATCGGGCCCAGCAGCTTAGGAGTCGGAGTTTCATCTGTTGTATTGGTTAAGTCCTAAAGTACCCTCTTTGGATTTCGGGGGACCCCGGACCCTACACCTAATCTTGAACCCTGCGGTTTCTCATCTCTGGTGAGTAGCTCTAGATATAACGCATGAGACATCAAGACTCAAACCTGAAACCCTGAACAATCCCCCGAAAATCTGAACTGCAACTCTGAAGCTTCACCTTGACGTGGCTTTGACAGCTATCACATGGCACAAAGGCCAGGAAGGTAGTTGCGGGTCTTCACTGCTTGAGCCCCCGAGGTTAAACAGCATGGGGAAACAATTTCTATAGGGGCCTTAATAATTAGAATAGGGCTTTGGGGCCCATTGTACTATAATTACAATAGGGAGCACTCAAAATAGTATGGGTAATTATTAAGGCCCGTATATTGGTTCCACTTTCGGCCGGGCATCGGTGGCTTGTGCTTTGCTGGAAGGCGTACCTTTGCACTCGTGGTTTAAGGTTTTAAGGTATAGGGCTGGCATTTGGGAATCCCTACCGGTCTGTCGATGTAAAGCCTATGTAGACAACCCTAAAACCCTAAACCCTAAAACCCTAAACCCTGAACCCTAAACCCTAAACCCCCAAAGCAACTTGTTCAGACTGCTTTCCGACCAGGGAGGCGAAGCACAGATCTGACCTGAATAGCTAGACCCTAAGGGTCTATGTAACCATCTTGAGGGGGTCCTTATTATAGTTATAGTAGATCGGGCTCCAAATTCTAATTATTAAGGCCCCTATATTACCCTGAGAGTCCATGGACCCAAATAGCACATATTTTGGGCCCAATGTACCCATCTAGGGAGTACGTTAAGACCAGTGTATATACTATATGAGTACATGGACCCTTAGGGTAGACCCCAGAGTAACCTGAGAAACAAGAGGTGCCCTTTGGGTACGGCCCCCATGCAGTAAGAATCTAGAACAGGGCTACTATTAAGGTCCTAAGATATCTATATTATGGATATGATTCAACTATTACTGAGTGGGGGCCGTACCTAAGGTGCCCTTTTTGGTTTAAAGGGGCTTGTAAGGGAACCTGAACCCCAAAACAAGGAATATACAAGGGCCTACTCTAGGTTCTATATCATGGCTGCAGGCTTCGGATTTAGACAGACGGGTTAACCGTGCCTACGCACTCAATTCTGAAAGCTTCTTGTAGACAACATTCACGATCAGGCTAACTACAAGCATCGCAGATCGTGGATGAAACAGAAACGAATCATGGGTGGGCAAGCTTCTGCTATCCAGTTCAGGTAGGACACGGGGCTCAAAGCATCCCTCCTGCAAGGAAGATAAAACCTAGGCCAAGTACGTACTGAGGCGTAATTCGTACTACAAAACATAGAGCATGCTTGTGGAGGGATAGTGGCAGCGAGTCGAAACTCTCTTGTGGCTGCGGAGCCGAAAGGAAGCGTTTCTAAAGTAGCCCATATAAAGTTACTTCAAAAAAGACTAAACACGACTGAGGTGCGTGGACCCTTAGGGAAGCAAGCATAACCTACCTAGAGGCTCCATAGCAACTACTTCCTTTTTGGGTTAATAATATTTAGACTTTAGAATCCTATGAGGTAATCTCAAAAAGGAGCTACTATGGAGCCATATATAGGTCAATCCCAATCCCGAAACCCTAAGCCCTAAACCCCTAAACCCTAAACCCCCAAACCCCTAAACTCTCACCCTTAAACCCCTAAACCCTAAACCCCCAAACCCCTAAACTCTCACCCTTAAACCCCTAAACCCCTGAATTCCGTGCTGGCATGGTCACTGGCCCTGGAGCTCCACCATCGCGCGATAAGCGATCATGGCTCGCTGCTCTTCCTGGGCGAGTCGGGGCTCAGGGTGGGAGGCCGGGGCCTGACTTCAAACGAAGGCTTCCTAAAAAGGGCTCTTCAACTAGACCCAAGAGTAAGGCTTCCTTTTAGGGCTCTTTAACCAGACCTACGTAAGAGTTAGGCCCAAGAGTGACCTAGGAAGAAAAAGGGCGCTCCTTTTGGGTTTAAAGGGGCTTGTAAGGGAATCTGAACCCTAAGAAAGGGAATAAGGGCCTACTCCAAGTCCTAGTTAAGAATCAATGTGATGTTTAAGACTTTAGAGTTTAAGGCTTAGGGTAACGATTCCTTAGATTAGAGCTCCATACTCGAATATACTGTTTAGGGTTTAGGGTAACGATTCCTTATAGGCTATAAGGCTCCTTACTATAGTTGCATAGCCCCGAAACTCTAGGCCATGCCATAACAAACCCGAAAGTCTCAACCCGAATTTGCTAAACAATAAAACCCTTACCATTCCGCTTGGCCCTACACCCTATTCCAAATTCGGCTGTGCGAGCCTGGCTTGCCGCATCTTTCTTTGGAGGGCCTGTTCTTCCTTGAGCCCTAAGGGTCCAAAGGACCCAATAATCAGGTACTTGGGTTTAGGATAGTAGTTTTGTAGGTTACTATTTGGGAGAGTATATGATAATTAGGTACTTGGACCCTTAGGGGAGGGTCATGAAGAAAAGAACAACGGGTAACCAAGAAAAAGGTACTACACTCAACCACGAAAGCCCCCGAACCATCATCCCCGAACATCCCGCTAAATTTGGGATTTGAGGGTGCAGATTTTTAGGGTGATCGTAGGACGTAAGGCTTGCGGATCTAGAGTTTCGGGTTCAGGGGCTTGGGGCTAACTTTCTATAAGGCTTAGGACTGAGGATTTGAGGCGTAGGAAAAATTCAGGCTTCTGGCTGTTCGGGTCGCAACAACTTCTTAGAGCGGCAGAGGAACAGAAGCGAAAGTGAAGCTTGGCTGGAAGCTGCGCAGCATATCCCTGGCCAACGGAAGGATCAAGAAACTCCAATAGTTGCTTTTCCGAACAGTAGCACACCCATCAACCCCAAAGCGTAATTCAACACCAATACCGAAAAGAACGAACACCTTCAGTTGGACAACATAACCAACGATTTGCAAGTAGAACCACGAAAAGTTGTAGCTTTCGGGATTTTGGGGCCAGGCACGGATCCATGGTTTAGGCTTTGAGGTCGAGGGCATCAGCATCTGTGGAGTGTATCAAGTCGAAGGTTCGAGGCTTCCAAAGGTCCGAAACCATAAAGACCCTCGCGCTAAGTCTCAAAATAGCTCAAAAGCCTTAGATAGTAGTGTCTTTGGGCCCAAAATCCTGAACATGTGAATCCTTGGATCAAGCCAAAACCTCGGATAGATTAGGGCATAGGGCTTAGGGTCGAGAGTTCGCTGAAAGCATAAGTCGAAAGAGCCTCCACATGAGTATTCGTTTGTGCCTACGCTGCCAAAATACCATGATTTACTAGACCCAAGAATAACCTAGGAATAACAAGGGTGTGCTTTTTGGTTTAAAGGGGCCTACAAGGGAACCTGACCCTAAGAAAGGGAATAAGGGTGCCGAGTCCCCCATCCTCGAGCCCATTTGCCTGGGTGATGGTATGATAATTCAGGTCGAAATGACAAAAGCTTCATCTTAGTTGCTGAGTTCAGAAGAACCAAGAAGTTTACACTTTCAGCTTTATAGAGGGTAGTATTGTCCCACAAAGTGTAAAGTGTATCCACTCAGCTACTAAGTCATGAAAGGGTGATTGGTATGACCCGCAAAGCAATAGGACTGTTGATACCCAGGTGGACCGGGACCCAACACTGGCAAATTAGGACCCCCCAAAAAGCACATAAGCAAAAAT